TATGCCTCCAGACTAGCTGTATGTTATATAAATGTAAATAATGTAAATTCATAATAAATGATTATATATTTATTTTAATGTCATACATTTACCAATAATAACAATTAAACAACGTTGAAAAGCATCCAGGAGGGACTTAAGCCCTCCCCCCACAAAGCCTACCTAATATTCCCGTCTATAACTATACTTATTTGAATTTCGATTTTTATGTGCCTATACAAATTATCGGAAAAATATTCCATTTAGGAATATTAAATTGAATACGACATGAATGTATTGAAATTTAAATGTTTTTACTAAAAAAATATACATTTATTTTGAAGCTGCTGTCTTGGAATGACTGTTTTAAGTCAATTTATAACAAAAATATTATTTTAAACAAGGTAAAAAAAATATTTTTAAAATCGTTTTAGTGATTACCTATTAGTGTTAACTGTTAAATAATCATATTATAGTATAATATTTATACAGTACGATACGTATCAAGGTATACTCATAAAGTCATAAATCTAAATTCGTATTTTTGAGTAGTTTTTGAACTATATAACTTTGTAGTCTGTGTACTAAGGATAATTATATGTCTATGATAATAGCACTGAATACATATAATAACTGTTAGTAATTAGTATACAATATACTATAAGGATAAGTATAAGGACTTGACAATTTCAATCATAATTTGAATAAAGTCATTACTAAATGAAAAATGTAGGTGAGCATGCAATCTAATCATCCTAGCCGTGCAGTGTACATATAATAAATAATAATATATCGAGCGATGGACGTGCATTATTTTCAAATATTCATTTCGTCTAAATAAAACGAGCAGATAGTAGGCTGATGACTTACTAATTCCAAAATACGAATTGAATGATATAAAAAATAACAGGTTTCGTTCAATAATATGTATCATTATGAAAATCGTTAAATATAATATACACGTATATAAGAAACGACGAGTTGTAACAAAAACCTTAGAAAATGTTTTTTATCAATGATACCTACTTAGTACGCCCCACAACAAAAAGCAGTACAGATGGCGTTTTTCTTTATCATCATCATATATATATTATGTTATATGTACCTTCGCCACCTGTTTTATATTAACATTGTCAATTGTCATATTATTATCGAGTATTGACAACTGTTCCTAATTAACCAGTATCCGCCGTTTCCGGTTACCTGTTGCACTAACATGTATTAAACTACACAGCGTACCTTTAATAATAATATTGTTTAAATACCAAATGACTGATTATGTATAATAATATAATAACTAATAATACTCTTATCCTGTATCTATACGTAAGTCCAAGCGGGAAGTGACTGGCGTTAATTTACATTTTTACCGGTGGAAATTGTAATAAATAATGTGATCATTTAATTTTACATTTTTTGTAAGCCTATATACAAACGTACATTGTACACGTCCATATGCGTAATGACTAATGAGTATAATACTATGACATAATAGTGACTAAAATTTATGATACTTAATTTAAACGACGCCTGTTAAAAAATTATACTTAGGCGATGTTCCGTAAATATTATTAATAGTTAATAAGCTGACATTTATGAGTTAATTATTTTATAATTTTAAATTTATTTTGTTTGTATTTTATAATAAATTATGTAAATATATTATATTATTATGCATTTTCACGAACTTACCGAATGAAGTTCCTCCAGACGTTCCAGTTCATCCATTATTAATGTAACTATATTTTTATGCAGACAGTAATCTTCCGAGCACTAATTACTACCCATAAATTGGTGATTGAATCCTATACGGTGTCGTAATGTATAATAATAATATGTAAACATATACCAGTGTCGGTATAAACAATTAGGTAGGTATTACTACTAGAAGATGATAATTATTACTGTTGAATTAGGTACTAAGTGCTTTTACAATGATTATTCGTCGTTATTAAAATGCGCTATCAACAAAGATAAACAAACTATTATTTTATTAGTTAAAAGTGCATTACTGTTATTATAATATTATGTTAGTTTTGTGATAGAAATTATACTCAATTTTTCGTCTGTTTTTATTAACTGTGATTACCAGTGAAAAATAATTTGAAAATCATTTCGTTTGTATATTTAAATATCAGAATAATTGATTAAAACATACTGCAACTGAAAAATAATTAGTGATAAATAGATTGTATCATAATATATATTAAATAAATTCCAAACTTGAAATTAGAAACACTAAACCATTTATAATAAACGTTGTGATTTATAACCTATTATAATTTATCATCACACATATTATTCGGTTTATAAATAATAAGTAAGTGTAATAACGTTCGTGGGAGAAGGTCATAATAATATTTCAACGAAAATTACATATATTTTCAAAATTAAAGACACCCGCAATTTTGAATTTTATAATAAATTATTTAAAACCCTGCAAGCCTTAAGTTTTTTTGCATTTTCTTTTGGTCAGTTAGTTGAAAACTTTATCAAACTATTGACATTATTTTTTTTTAAGTAACCGAGAACATTATTGATACATATTAGGAGTCGTGTTCATAAACTATTATTATACATTTGAGCACGTCCATGACAAAGGATCATACTGCAATAGTATTTTATAGCGCTATAATAGCTTCAGTAAAATAATATATATATTATTTTATTAATTGAATAGGTTTTTATATTCATATATAATAATAATAGCAAGACATAAGGTGTCATCACTCATTGCTATATAATTTTTTTTTATCTTTAATTTGTGTCCTTTGTTTTCATACTACTCTATACCTTTAGGCTTTAAAGATCTATTATTATACATAATGCTTACTATCACAATTATTCTTTTTAGATTATGTAAATATAATCTCTTAAAAATGCTTAATAACAATTTATTGTTTAAAGAAAAAAATCAATATGAATTCTGTTATCTACTGACCTGTTTTGGCTATATGGTGAGTCCTAAAGAATAAAGTATAGTAAATTACAATTTTAAATAATTTATCATTTTATATTACTTACCATTTACCGCAATATAAAAAAAAAAACGAAACATTTTAATGGACAGGTTATTTTAGGTACAGATACCTAAGGTATTTGCATTTTATCTCTATAAAATACGATGGTAATTATAATATTTAAAAACCCGATTTTTTTTCACAATTTAATTTTTTTACTTATATTAAATCATGAATTCCATTTTGTCGAGTAAAGATATCTGATAAATATCCTAGCAGGCGATAAAAACAAAAATTAAGGAAGTACGACTGAGCCTGCAAAATATAATATATTATGCGCGTTATATACCTACGCAGTATCTTCTAAAAAAAAATGTTTATTACATTCTTATCATAATAGAAGGCTGCAAATAAAACTCGAACAATTTATAAATGCGCACGCCGCACGCTATATATTAACAAAAATACTATTTTGGAAGAGTTCCACGCTCAATTAAATATAGTGTTCACCCGACACATTTTTAAATAGTCAAAACTTTGTGTACGACGTGCGCAATACCTTAATTTGGCAAATACGTACTACTATGCATAACCGCTTTTAGTTTTCACACTTATGTACGCACAAAACACACACACATATATACACAAACTACTCATTTATTTATTTACATCAAGTATATATTATTATAAACACATACGTATATATATTATATAAAACAATTGCGTTAATAAATAATAATACAAAATAAAAATACCTTCACGGTTGGACACTATAAATTAGATATAAAAAAATATATTATATATAATATTTGACCTACTAGTATATATTATTTTTAATGGTATATATTATTATAGATACATATTTTATACAATATAATATTATTTCATGCGTTCGCGACTTAACGGTAGGTACTATAAAAGTGTATTTGAGCTCCTATATTATTATATTCACAATATTTAGTTGCTATTAATATTTTTACACACTCGAAATATATATGTATTAAATACATACGATCCATAGGTATATCAATCCATATTATGATTTATACCTACATGATAATAATATATGCCTAAATGGTTCGCTTTTGGCGACGTTTAAACACGTCGATATATAAAATAACATCACATACACTTATATATTAATATAAATACATAATCTAGGCGGTAAGTACTAAGTACCTACACACGTTATGGACATCTTTGACAATTTATTTTATAAAAATAATAACAATACACGGTCATCGTCGTGTGTGTATAAAAATAAAAATATCGTAGGCGCACTGACGCGTGCAATTCGTGCGGAAATCAATCCATCGTACAACGCGATAACAGTAATCACGATAATAATGATGATGATAATGATGATGATGATAGTAATAATAATAATAGTAATTATAATAATAATAGTAATAGTAATAAATATTAATAATTATATAAAACATCAACAAAATAAAATAATAATTTATAAGTGTATTATATTATGTATCACCCTCTGTGTCCCTATCGCAGTTGAGAAATATTATAGGTACTTAATTCGTTATAGTGTGATACACATATTATAATATCTAAAATATAACTGTACAAATCATATCGCACAGAGTCACAGAGTATTGTATACAATATGTACGTGTCGATTTTAACGTCGACGATGTCATATTATGCAGAGATACTTGTCTCTCCGTTAATAGGTATAAGTATTATCTGTCCTTATAATATAATACAAGCAGAGTAGAATATTATTATTAAAACATAATAATATTACATACTATATTATAGCGTCGCGCAGACGAAAGTCAAAATACATCGTCGCGCCGTTTCGTTTCTATCGATTAATCGTGCAAATGTCCACCGGAGGCGTTCGATTCAAAAATATAATATATAGTTAGGTAGTAGTTATATTCGGGTAGTAGTTATATTATCGTGTTATGACGTTACAATAACATCGCTCATAATAATAAAATTACATTAATATTGGTCAACGGATTTACCAAGGTAACCAAGTAGCGTGCACTCACGTACCTATATACATATATATATTATTATAACATAATATAATTCGGGTCAGATGTTCAAACACCTCAACTTCTTTTCGGGCACCATTGACGAGAACGACGGCATGTTGTTGGTGGTGAGCACATCGTCGGGCCGCACGCCGATGGACTGCAACCGTTCCAGAACAAGCAGTTCGAGCTTGCTGAGTTCGACGTCGACGCGGTGCACGGGCGCGTGCTGCCGCTCCCACCGTGCCAACAGTATCACGTACTCGGCGTTGTGGCCAGCCGGTCCCGCGCACGTGGCCACCTGCGTGGCCAGCTCGTCGACGGGCGCCTCGCCTAGCCACTGGCCGTTGTCCGGCGTGGCCACGTACACGGTCGCGTTCACGGTCCGCGGGCAGCACTCGTCCGAGCCGTCCGACCGCACGTCCACCTTGTGCACCTGGTAACCGCCCAGGTACACCTCCCTCATCTCCAAGTACCTGAACGCCGTCTCGTCCGGCAACAGGAACGCTTTGCCCCACACGAAACCCTGCAACAATAACAAACGCACCCGCTGTAGCTGGTTTTATATAATATAATATAGGTACGCACATATTGTAATAAATATTATACAGGTAAATGTGAGGCTAGAGGAGGGTCTTATATTCGTGTAATAAAAAAAAAATTATTGGATTTTCCTCCAAAATCAACCGACCGATATTTGCATGTAGAAATAATAATAATATAATTATAAATATCAAGTTAATATTATGAAATTTCCAATAAATAGATAACGTGTTTTCATCTAGGTATGTATTTATTGTAACCTATATTTAAATGAGGATTTGGGTGGGAGGTCGCGGAATATTGCTCATACGTTGACTGTTTTCTGTACCAATTTCCAATTGGACTTTAAGTGTATATGGGCGTTCCTAGTATAAGTGTATAATGATTGTAACTTGAGCTAGAATTTCACATTCAGCTGACTTTTAATAACCACGTTATTACGTATATAGTTAGAGGTGAGACGAAATTCATTTTTGGTAAATCTATCCTAGTCCTATTACCATATAGGTAACGGTTGTTCAGTATTGTTGAAACATTTTATAAACAAAAAGTATTTGTAAACATAACAGAATTTTACCGCCCTTGATAAAATGAAACAAAATTTAGTTGCCTACGTAAGTACAAAGTACTTTGTTGAAAGTAAAATAATCCACAACTTGGTAACAACATTTTATATGTTTTGTAGCCAACATTGTTGGAAACAACACAATGGTGTTTAATTTCTGTATAGAACGAGCATCGATCACTCACTATATGGAGTATATACTAAACGCGCTTCGCACACCTTTTCTTATGTATAATGGAAAAAACTCAATTATTTTCACCGGGTGCAGTAGGAAGAAGCTGCTGAAAATTCGTTAAAAAAACATAACACGTCTACAGTGTTGTTTTTTTTTTTTTAAACAGACTCATGTCTGTGTATAGAGAAGTGCGTAATTCAAGAAGTACTTGAATGGAAACATTGGAAACCCTAAGGTTCGTTGAAAATATCGGTGGACAGATTGTGTTTATGTGTAGGTGGTAGGTCCATATAATGGGATACCAGAGTTAAAGAGTAAAGTAGTCCACGTTAGCTAGGGGATCAAGAAGAAGGGTAGGCAATAAATAATAACATTTGCGTTCGGTCGGTTATTAACATAAACTATAAACAGCTTGTTAAGTGATTTTTTAATTTTCAACGAAATATTAACCTTTACACTCGAGTTGGTAGTTTGTACACCACGTATAGGCTGAGCATAAATTTTATCGAACTCACAAAGTTAAAATGTATTTGATGATCAGTGATTACTCGGTAAATTCACACCACAGGTAGGTTACTTTACTCAACGACTGCGTCATACATAAATACATAATAATATATAACTGTTTGCTTGAATAATTGAGATAATTTATTAAATCATAAGGAAAATATCTGTAAAATCTTTGCATTTTACAGTATTTTTGTCATTACACAGGATTGATTTATGATGCATGCCTTTGAAATATGGTAATATTTGGTACGTATTACTATTTGTGCGAAATTGTTGGGTTATGCGATTTGTGTTAAGCCATTAGAGATAGAGTTTTGGGTTTAAAAATATACAAATGTAATCATCATTGTGCATATTTTGATAAAAGTCTAGACCTTGTGAACAATTTAATAAATTAATTTTTTCAATTTAATTAAAAACACGTACCTATAGTCATATAGTCTTTTATAATATACATATATTATTATAATCTATAACAATTCATAACTATTATAGCAATACAAATTACAATTAAAATAAATTAGTTGAAAATAAGACCAGTTATTCTAATCTGGTAGAATATATTATATAGTACAATTAAAAGTAAAGTTGAAATGTTTATGATAATGGTTATTAAAATGTATTATATTTGAAATTTTGATTGAATAATGCGAATGCTATTGGACCTTAATAATAAATGTCCAACGACCAACCGAGTTATAGCCTTTATAAATAACCTATAATTTGATGCCTTAGAGATATATATAAGAAAAAGTAAAGCTATTTCATTGAGAAATGTATACCATAAAAAACTACCCCTACAGTCTTATTAATATCAATTTCATTTTCGAAGTAAAAAAAAAAACAATAGATATATCGATTGATGGAATATGATTTTAATTTAGAAATAACGGGAGTAATAATATTGGAATTGGGATAAGAACCTTTTTGTCTTATATAATGTCTGTTATTATTTTTAGAGCCCTCTCAAGGTCACAACCGACTCTCTGATTTTGATTTATAATCGCTACCGTCTTATAAAAACTGTAAACCTATACTTTAACTCATGAAGACGCGCCTAAAAACAATTCACAATTGTTATTTTTTTGTTTTAATATTTTTGAACATACTATTATTAATTTTAATTTTTAATACTCAGGTACTGTTACATACATAATATTCTCTTTACTATATAATATGTTTGTTCATACACATTACACAACCATACACATTTTTATGTTTATGCAAATGCTCTTATAATTTATTTACTTTGCAGTTACCTTACGTGGCCACGTCCCTACTTAAAATTTATAAAATATAAAATAGGTAGACATTAATGTTATAATTTCCAACTGTATTCATAATATTAGATAAAGAAAATATCATAAGCAAAATGAGTACCTACCTATACAATTATTTTAATGATCTCTAATTTGAGATGACGTTCATTCATAAACACAATTATTCATTTTATGGACGTATGAAACAAATAATGTTAGACCACAGATACAATAATACGTTAGTATTATGTAATACATATGAATGACAAAGAGTAAAAATTCTAAGTAGGTAAGTAGTAACTAGTAACTATACCTATTTAAATGTATTCATTTTCGTTATAAATACGTTTTGTTTGTGAATATTAATTATACTTAAAAACCTTATCACCTTCAATTATTATTTATTATTCAAAGTATTTGCAACGTGTGTATAGTCGTTATTAGTTAGAACATATTGCTAAATATTGCAAATATAATGAACTCCTTGATTTGTACAGTCGTGCCTACAGGAAATTGATAATAAATTGTACACCTACTTTTGTTGATAAAATGATATTCTTACTTAAATCCATTAAAAACATGCATCTATCACACGTACAGAATACTATATTAATTTGTAAGTAGATTGAATGTACTTGATTACTACATATTATTATTTATTTATTATCGTTTCCTGCATAGTCCATTTGATATATTATTATCTACAGAATATATATATAAACAAAATACAACACGACACAACACACAGCATTTCTCATTCACTATAATATTATACAATAAGCTACGAAGGACATATTATTTTTTCTGTTTACTAAACGGAATGCGGTTAAAAGAAAATAATACGTTTCGTTTCGGTATCGAGATGTAGGTAGGTACCTATATAAAATAATATAAATATTAAACTTTAGTTACCTGAGGGTCTTCGACTAATGTGGCCACACGTCCAGGCTGAAAAAAATAACATTAACCTAAGTTAGTCAAATACTAGTTTTCGTTTATATTTTTATAAACAACAATAACAATAATATTATAGGCATACATAAAATAAATGTGAATAGACGGGACAATACTCTCGTCATGATGGGAGTGGAGTAGAGGCATGTGTTTGCTGAATGGCTTTGTATTAGATACAGTTATGATTGAACCATGTTCATAATAATAATATGATGTATGTCTAAGTAAGAAGACCATATTGTAATGTCCGTATAGTTCACACAATTTCCCAGTTGTAAAAAATACAAACAATAGACTCCTACAGTGAAGAAGATCTTATTCTCTTGGACCTCGTCTTTCTTTTTGTATAATATACGTCATTTATTTCACCTTCACATTACTTGTGTTAATCGGCATTTCGACTGGCATATCGATTCAGCTTTTCTAATTTACCGATCACAGACATTATGCACTTACATTAAGTTATTTTAAGGATAATATTATTATCATTATTTATCAACTTTATTGTATTAATACAATTTTCAACAATAACAAGTCGTACTATTTTTTGGGCCTTTCCTCTCTCCATCAACACACTAGTCGCGTTCTCGTTCACAGTTCATGAGCTAGTCAGCCATAATCTACTCCCTTCCATTCTAATTTACTTTTCCAATTTCCTTAACCCACACCCCTTGCCCACACGTGAAGTGTGCACGCTCCATCTTGAAAAAGCTCTGTGCAATATCCAGCTTATCTCATTTGGCTGTCCTTCCTTCTCTGTTTCAAAATTCTTAATTAATAAATATTGTCATAATTTTTTTTACCTATTAGTTTAATTAAATAATTATATTATTATTATTATTATTATTATTATTACCATCACTATTAACATAATTATTGGCGAGCTGTACCTAAATTTACATTATTTTTTAAATAAACTCATGTAGGTAATATTAATAAATATTTTAATCTAACTAATTTTACGGATCCTCTGAATGAAATTACACGATTTTCAACAAACAACTATTAAAAAATATTAATTAAAAATTAAGACGATTGTGTTTTTTAAACTGACGGTGCTAATTGACGATGTAAAAATAACGATTACTTCAGCGGACTAATCTAATTTACCATAATATTACGAATATATTGAGCTAGAGTAAATAATTGTAATATTGTATACACACAAACAACCCAATATTCTTAATTATTATAGTTACTGCCTTACTGGTAACTAGTTAGTAGTTAGTAAAATTAATGGTTCAATATGGAACTAGTCATAACACTTTACAAATAACAAGATCTTAAGGATGGTGATTGACGAATAACAAAATCAAACTAATTAACTTTGAATAATACATTGTATTAAAAACATTTAGCCAACAATAACTGTTAAAGATTTAAAATGTACCTAGCTTAACCAATTTGTTCAATATGATAGTTTGGACTCGTTCCAATTCCTTACATAATATAAAATAAATTATAATTATGGACTATAATTACAGGTGCTATTTTGTAATCAATGTAAATAAATTCCATAAACTTGTATGAACCATGGTTGAATGGGGGGGGGGGCACGGGGAGACCGAGTCCCACTTCTATTTTAAAAATATTTTAGCGTACCCCTTCTAATTTCAAGAATTAATAAGACATGTAAATGTTCGGGGGGACGCACAAATGTTTTATACTTTTGCATCCCCTTTCCATTTTTTTTCCAATTCAAGCACTGCGTATGAATGTATAATAGTGGCAAAACACTTGGTTTTCGTCTAAATCATAAAATAAATAATGTTAGATCCTATTAGTCCATTGTCCGTTTTAAAATAAGTAACAACAAATAAAAAATAAATGTAATATTGCATAAGTAACGAATAACATATATATATAAAGCGTTATATGCAGTTAATGATTTAATATTTGCTTATACATGTATAATGTGTATATTCATTTTACAGATAATATGAATTTAATGGTTTAGAATTTATATAGAAGCACTCGAACGTATTGAACGTAAAGTTTCTTACTTAAAAACAAGAAAAATAACATCATCCCATATCATTAAATGTTTATTTTTTTATTTTCAAGTTTATTTAAAAGTTAAAGCTCATAAGTGTTTTATAAAGTTAATAATAAATTAATCTCAATAATTTATCTATGTTTATTGTTCGTACAATTGTAATAAATAATTTTACCGTCCTAATACTTATACGTATCAAAACTTTTAATCTAGTATCAATTCTAGTTTTTCACTTTCGTATACTTTAAAAAAGAAAAACTATTTCACCACTTTATTTTACATAAAATTATTCATAAATATAATCACATTACGTTGTCTCCATAATATATGGACATAATACGGTATATATAGTGTCATTATTAAAGGAAAGTTATTTTTTAATTTAAAATGACACATGCAATATTGCAATTAACATAATATCATCTAAGCAATATTGCGAATAGGTTTGTCGAGGACATTTTTTTTTATGAAAGAATTGTATACATAAATTGATAATTATTTACATTTTTTTTCTAGTTTACCTTTTAATAATATTGTGTTTTCAATACTGTTATGATATCGCTGAATATTTTAGCTTTTGATATAGTATTTATTGAATTACATTTTTAAGGAAAACAAGATTGTACAATTATCTAATAGGCTTTGTATATATAAACATGATTAGGTACTGATTAGTCATTACTTATAATATTAACAAATAAAATACAATAAGGCACCTTATAAAATAAAAGCTAATTTTGTGAAAATAAAAATCGTCGTCCGGAATTATACAAGTTCAATTTTCACTTATGCATAATATTGACCTTCAAAATTTTTTTCAAAATAATGAATTTCGATAAGTTAAGATTACTCACTAATCGTTTTAAGCGATTTAAATTAATGAGAGATTTAAATCTAGAGGCTATAAGTATATTTATTTTCATTTTATGAAATCCGTTTAATAAAAATGTTTTCCCTATATTTGTTTAATATTAATATAGCATTAACTATTAAGTATTAAAATTCATTAAGTATTTGAATATTGAATTCAATGTATTAATTCTACATGTAGCATTTCTCAAAATTATATTATGTACAATTATTATTAAATAAAAAATAAACATAAAATGCAATAACAATTTTACAAAATGTTTGTGTTTTGCATAGTAGCAAAAAGCCTAAAACACATAACATTATGCACACGGCGAATGACGTAAGAATAATACTTATTAATACAATTTTTACAACAATCAATAAATAATATTATTTATTTAATTTGTTACAGACATTTAATCTACAATAACTGTAGGAACAATTGATTTTAATGTTTATTAATAGTTTTAATATTTTGTGTATTTTTTAGAATTATTGTTTATTAATTCTAAGTTATGTAAGTTGTATAATTATATACCAGGAATCACAACGTACGATACTTTAATAGTTTAATCAAACAAAATATCGAAACCACATTACTTTTTGTTACAAGCTGTGCTAATGTTACTGCAAATAATATTTAAATAAAAATAATGAATTCAAATTGAATGCTTTGATTGATAACTAATACCTATCTATTATAAATTATAATTATATACAAACAGTAGGTGAGTCTGAGACATTTCACTCGGGTAATATAATATGTGGAGGTCATTTTTAAAAGAAAACTACACTAGTCTATCTAAAATTCCGTAGCCCTGGGCCTTCAGTCATTAATTAACAGAAATTTAGACTAGATAACCAGTTTAATTTATATAAACTATACAAGACTTAAGAAAGCATACTTTTTCACAGGTATAACTCAGCTCGTGAAATTTTATTAGCCATTAAAATATTATATAAAGGGGTGACCTTAATTTTTAACAAAGAAAATTTCTGTATCGATATTGTGACACAATTAGTTAAAGTAGGCATAACGTATATAAGTGAAAGGCAATTTGGTGACACTGTCCATCTATGCGTATAGATTCTGCAATAAAAACTAATAAGTAGAGTAAGTTGTGATGAAAATATAATAGTCCAAATAAAATTGCCTTTTTAACGAGCTGGATTCAATTTGTACCAAACTTGACATTTAATATACATAAATTAAGGAATAGGCACATCAAATCTATTCGTATGAAAACTGTTCATGTTCAGATTAGTGTTATGAAGAATTGTTATTTTCTTATGGGTTAATTACCGACTGAAAAACCAGTTTGATTGAATAGATATAAAAAATGCGGAAATGTATTGGTTGTTGGTGGATGTATTAAAAATTTAAGTATAGTTATCGATAATAATAGTAATTACAATGTAAAAACAAATAATCTCAGCAGTATTGGTTTTTGCAAAATAGCGAAATTAATAATCTGAGAACCCCTTGTATCTCTATATACCTATTACCTGCCTAGCTAGTAGCTACAACTATACAAAACACATTCACAATAATTATTAAGACTAGACATGGGAAAAACTGCCTACTCGAATATTGCCTGCATCAGAAAAAAAAATAGGAGGTCGTTCATGGTCATAATTTTATAGAAACTTGACAGTTAACACGCAGTGCAAACGAGAGGAAATCGAACGTGGTCATCAATTTTCCGTTTAGTACCGTAAATTATCGTGTAAGCACTAGCACATTTTAGTATGATTAGGGACAGTTTCAAGTGGTTCGACTGGTATAGTCGATTTTTGGTAATATACACAGAGGCCCTTCCAATATAAGCGTCAGTATAGAAGACGAAAAACCGTTCAAACGTGGCGTTAACGTTAAAAACCGTCACGTGGCTTACACGGGGTCGTGGTAATTGTTTCCCCAATAAGGCGGCAACCACTCGGCGGTAGCGGAACCACTTGGCGATAGTCAGTGGTTCTCAAAACGGATGGGAAACAAAATGAAAACATTGCATCAGCCAAGCACTCACTCGGGCGGATGCGCTCGAGCGTGTGCTTACACACTTGTACATGGGTAATATGAATCAATATAATATACAGTTGAACACATTTATTATAATATATTATCTCGAGATAAGACAGACTACACGTGCGCTCCGGTAAATATTCAAATATAATAATATATTGTAATGAACTCGTAAACGGTAATAATAATATCGTTACCTTTTCCTTGGTCCCTCGGTGCGCAATGTTGCCCTGCCAGAACTTCCTGGAGAAACCCTGCACGTAACCGACCATGGAATCCTTGAATTCGAAACCCGGGTTCCAGCACAACGATCCGTATCCGAACACCCAGTACTCGGGATCCGCGGCCATGAAAACTCTGGACTTCGGAGGGTCTGGTTATAATGAAATATCGTACGACGTCCGTCGTGTGTCGACAACCCGCGAAGGTGTATAATAATAATAATAATAATATTATATACCTAGTTGTTCGGTGGCATATGTGTCTGAGCTCGGCGGATGATGATAATTCAACGACGTGTCGTAGTAATAATACTATACACGTTATGCGATATTATTATTATGAAGTAATTGCAGCAGTGGTGCGATAAATAATATTATAATATTTAAACGACACAAAAGCGCGCGAAATGTCAAAGTATGCTTGTAATAATAATATCGCGAAAAGCGCCAAGCACGCTTCCAGACGTGCGCTGTCAAGTACGCCGAGCGGCGAGCGGTACTGGTCTGCGCGTCGCTCGTACGTAGTCTATTACAACGATATGATTTTTTTTTTTCGACAACTAACGTAACCACGGTTGTAACGGCGCGGCGGCGACGCGTTGTCCGATCGCGTCGGCCGACGACGACGACGACGACGACGACGGTCCGGCCCCTACGGTAGCGGTGGTTCGCGGCGGTGGCGACGGCGGCGCGGCGTGATAATAACGTGCGATTATAATGTAATATTTTGGATTCTGCGCTCTGTCGCGTATCTTTGTGCCACCGCCGCCGTTTGTGTTGATCACTAATAATAATAATAAACTCGCGCTAATAATATTGTTTGTCTGCAGCTGATGTTTGCGCTATCGCTGCCACCGGGTCAACAGACGTTTTCGCTGTGTATTTATTATTATTAATGTTTTTCTTTTTTAGACGGCAGCGCGAAAAAAAATTCGCTCGCGCAACACAAACCGATGAACCTAAACGCGCCAAGGTCGATGCGAAATGTGTTATGCGTGTGGCAACGGACCCTTCTTTCTGTTTACGCCAAAATTCGCTCATAATAACATTACAATTATTATAATATGTTATAATAATTATTATGATTATAACGTTCGCGAAACGTTTCTAATATAATAATATTATGATATAATATAATATTATTTAGGTCCTAATAACCGCGAATAAAAATCACGTAATTACGTCACTTACGACTGCGCTGCATTGTAAGTAAATAATTATAATAATGTATTACACGTTATGTGCTATAGATCACTGGTCGTCGTAAGTCATCAGAACCGCACATTCGCACAACTTTTATAATACGATATTATAGGTAGCACGTACGATATAGGTAGTCAGAGGTACGCACGTTTATGGCGTAAGATTAATAACATGTTATTATCATTTGGACCGCGTATGATAATAATTCGATCGTGACGAATTTGAGGTTGTTGGACCGATGATTTCTGTCGAAGAACATTACATCCTAGTTTCTCAATTGTTTATCTCATATAGGTACAATAATACATAGGTAAGTATAGAGGTATGTATTGTATATACTGTTATCTGATAAATTGATATTTGGCCAATATTATTTATTTTTTTTAATTTATCAAAAATTCGATTTCTTCACATACCGTTTTGTCGTTGTTATACATTTTTTATTTGAAACATATTTTTTCGCTTTATCAAGATTATTTCTTGAAAACCACTTATTTAAGATACAAAAATATTATAATAATAGGCAGGTACATGAAATTTCCTTTAAATCTTTATTGGTTTACATTTCAATACAAAATCCAATACAAATCGTCAAACCGAGTATAAGTACTGATGTACTATATTATCTAGAAATGGACTATATATTTGTATAGAAATTACATGTTGGGTATAATACAATTATAACAATTCCTGTATTGTTGCGTGTGACAGTTTTAAAGTTATTGTGACTTGTGGACTTAATATAATAGTTCGGTATCTTCGTGAAAAGGTAAACATACTTTAAATCATGTCAAGCGAGAAAATCTTAAGTCGTTGGATTAATTTTCGATTACTATAGTTTTAAATAGCATTTAATAATCTTACTATACTTGAGAAAACCAATTCAACCGTTGTTTGCACGAAAAGATTGATAGTGTGAATTAATCCAAACAAAAGATTTGACAATTCATTCTCAATGAACAGCCTAAAATAATATTCTAAAATTAAATGTATAGAAGATCAAGACGTTAAAATATGTTCAAGGTTCTTAGTGAAGAAGGTGCCAAAATTATTCTCTATATTGAAAATCTTTGAAGCTTATAAACTTAATTAAATTATTATTGATACTTATAACAATTAATATTATTGAATGTTGGATACCTAGTGATAGTTTATTTATCCAAACAAAAGTTTTATCTTACAATAAGTAAAAATAATTACAAATGAAAAGCAAATTCAATGCTAGTTTTTAATTTCTAAGAAATTATTTAATTAAGTAGGTAATTATAATACTGAAGTTCTACAGTAGTTGTACAGCTAAATATTATTTATGTTTATTAATAAAATAACTTTAATTATTAACTTAAACTATTAATTTTAATAAAAAAAAAATCAAGAAAGTCACTCTGCTGTAGATATATTTTGTTCGAGTGTACCTCGTCATTGACTATGTTACTCTATAATGACTTAAGTAGGATATGTTGTGTTAAATTTTAATTCAATGATATATCATAATTGCATACGAAAAACGATTTTGAACAGCCTCGATTTCTAACGATATTTTATAATTTATTTATATTACCAATTACAAACATTTTTCATCTGATCATTGACCATTGTGTAGGTTATAGAAAATAATACTGAACGTAATGGCAATAAGTTTCAAGTCTCTACGATTAATATTCAACATAATAACTAAAATAGTTAGAAGAAAAATATTAGGTATATTTTTTACGTTATTATTTATTTAAATATCCAACTTTGTCAAAATATAAACTTCAAACGCTTAAAAAAAAATTGCGCCTACCTATATTATGTACTTTCGATATTTTTAAGATGCTATAAGGAATTTTGTGTTACATTTTCAAGCTTAAATTTAAAAAGTAGAACATTTATAATAAATAACTTAAAACGTAAATTTATAATGTCTAGAAAATGCTAATACAATAATAATAAAATTATTATTATTATTATTATTTGTATATAATAAATAAGGTTAATATTTCAAGTTTCTCCGCTTACTTATTATTGAATAGCAACAACAAAATAAAATTAATGTTGATAAAAATTGGATTTTAAGAGGTTAAAATCGTCAAAAAACCAAATTGTACCTACGTGTAAATCGTGTACCCATATACGTAATGGTTGTTATTGGTTATAGAAGAAATAATTAGTAGAAATTCGTATTTATTATTGGTTGGTATTGCAGGTAATTCGGGCAGATCAGGCGCAAGCATGCCTACCACGGTGGCTAAGTTGCACCCAAAATAGGAGTTGAACAATTATAACTTTTTGAGAGTTGCCATTTTTTACTGGCAAAAAGTGCAAGGGATCAGCTAGTATAATATAATCGAACGTGTCCTGACTGACTCACTGACTGATCAATCTGTATAGAGCCTATAAACAATGATAGCTTCAGGTTTGCAATTTTCACGGTACCTTCACACCACCATAATATGTAAGTGTGCAATAAGAAAGGATCTTCCAAAAATTTGCTTTGTAAAGTGGTGCTTACACAAGTATTTTGTGATTCAAGATGACAAGATGATCGATGAAAATGTTTAAGTTTTGAACACCTTTTCACCGAATATTAAATAACGAATTGAACAATGTTTGAATCATATAGAGTTGGTATTTTTATGGATAACGGGTCGTCTAGTAATCTATAAATATAAAAATGGTGCTCTGCTGTACAGTAGGTTACAAGTGGGTCACTGTATAATGGATGGTATTAAATTTGAATTCAATGATATAATATCATTGTATAAGAAAAACGATTCTGAGCAGAGACGGTAGTCAGTCTTGGTGTAAGACATATTATATACTCATCTATGGTATTAAAAAAAAGATTGTACCTATAATAAATTCCAAATTAATCGTATCACAATATCCATTAGGTACTTATAACGCGTTATACATCAACAACAAACCCTGATACCTACTATCTTAGATGTATAATAGTGTACTTTAGAAGTTTCAAGTACCCACGAATAATATTATATAATCCCATCAAAATAACTAAAATAGTTATTTTAGGTTTTTATAATGTGATTTCATCTAAATTTGAACTTAAAATTACTATGAAAATAAACTGTCTTTTTTGGTAACAGAATTAACTACTTACGTGGAATCTTGTTTTAAATTTTCAATCCTTAGATATAAAAGTTGAACATTTTATAAATTTTTAACTACAAAATAATTATTCAATTTTAAATTTGATAAATTTTGTCAAAATTCGATCTTTAAATGAATAAATGATTATAAAAAAAAATTGTGACTATGTATTTTTAATATTTTTCAACTGACATTTTAACAATATATCAGGAGCCTTGTATTAAATTTTTACACTTTTGGCTCAACCGATAAAACTTTATTGATATTTATAGAAAAAAAAACTAAAAATAATTGAAATATGAAATTGTCCGTAAACAGCTCAAAAAGAGTCAAAATATTTTCAAAATTGTATGGTGTAGGTATAGGAACTGCTAATATAAACATTCAGTGAAATTTTCATGTATCTACAGTTATTTGTTTTTGAATTACAACAAAATAAGGAAATCGCTACATAAAACCGAAATCGAGTTATCCAATGTTGTAAAAATTTGAATTTCAAACACTCATAAAAATTTAATTTGACTTTCTTATAGACATTTTTTTTTTGATAAAGGTAGATAATCTTATAAGGAATCTTGTATTCAATTTTAAAATATTAGATTTAAAAAGAAAATTTTTTACGAATTCTTAACTCAAAATAATTTGCTAAGTTTCGTGATTTTTCCATATTTTGTCAATTTTTGAACTTTAAATGCTTATAAAAAAAAACTGTGACGAAGGATTTTTAATATTTTTCATCTGCCATTGAAACAATATACTAGGAGCCTTGTATTAAATTTTCAAGCTTTTTTAACCAACAAATAAAATTTTATTGATATTTTTAAAAAAAAAAC